AGCAAAATACGAGGGGAAAAAAACACTGACCAGTGTTGCCAACTGCTTTCAATTGAAAGCTAAAACAGTTGCTAAATGTTACTAGATTACGTCATAATTGCGAGTTCATATAAATATAGATCAGTGGGAGAGTCTTGAAATCTATACTGAACAAAATTATAAACGCAACACTTTTGTTTTTGCCCCCATTTTCATGAGCTGAACTCAAAGATCTAAGACTTTTTCTATGTCTTAGATCTTTGAGTTCGGCTCATGAAAAATGGGGGCAAAAAGAGGAAGTCACTAAATCTAGTGACAAATCACTAAATTGGCAACATTGACACTGACTACAACATAATCAGTTATTAATAATTTGTTGGTCCTCTTGTTTTTGCATGACCAAAAATTATGACCGTATTGGCATGTTGGCATGTTTCATTGCATTATTATCACAAAAAAAACAAAACTGATTCTAAGCAACTATGCAATATGCTTACAAAATTAACACACATTATTTTTTTTAATTAAGGGTGAAGATGTTAAATTTCTTAGGCCGGCATTACTTTTGACCACTACTATATAGCAGTTCTTTGACTTTCCAACTGACTGTAAAACCATGCTGCAAAAACAAGCCACTTTCATGAGGATTGTGGGCTTTCCTGGAGTTGTTGGAGCTGCTGATGGAACTCGTGTTCACATCAGTGCTCCAACTGTAAACGAGGAGACATACCAATAGAAAACCATTTCAAAACATCAGTAACAATTTGTGATAATTTTGCACAATGCAAAGCATTTTTTAAAATAAATTTAAATATTAAAATATTTCAGTGTCTTGATTAAATAATTGTATTGTAGTTACATTAAATTATTAGTGTTGTGCTGCTGTGACTTCACATGAGTAGGCTCACTATTGGCTGTTTCAGAGGTCGAGGGCAGCCATTTTGGGCTGACATCATTGTAGTCCTTAGTTTGCAACACTTAAGTGTTAGTCTTAGACTTTACTAAAAGTTGCTTTTAGCTTCTTTATAAGTCTCCTACTCTTAGAGAAGTCCTACTTGTAACTAAGAATTTTTTGACACTTAAGTCAAAGATTAAGACTATTCTTAAGAGAATTTCTGAGAAGTTTTATACATACAGGCCCTGGGCCCGTATTCACAAAACATCTTAAGGCTAAAAGTAGCTCATAACACGGTGATTTAGGAGAAAATCTTAAAAATAATGGGCGTGTCCATCTTAAATTTAGGACTCCTACATTTTTGCCCTAAGAGTATTTCACAAAGCGTTTTAGCACTAAAACTAGCTCCTAAATCTGTGAAATGTTAGGAGTAGTGAAGAGGACTCCTATGTCACTAAGACCAAGCCACAAACTATTCTTAAAATGGCTGTTGCCGGCAATCTGCCTCTGAACGTAAACATTTTAGAAACATTTGATGATGATAACCTTTTTAAAAGGTATCACCTTTGGTTTTGGAGGTTACCCCAACTCCTAATTTTCCTTTGATTATATCCTTGATTTCATTAACCAGTTGGGCAAGAAGTTACAGCTGTTCTTGCATCCAGGGCCCGTATTTATCAAGCTTCTCAAAGTGCCATTTTAGTCTTAAGTGCTGAGAATTCATTAAATTTACTCCTACTTTCAAACTTAAGTATAAAAGCAAGTTATCAAATTTCTTAAAGCTAAGAATCACTCTTACTCTCCCAGTTATTTAAGACAGCTCGAGAGGTCTCTCAAGTGGTTAGGAGTTGCCAGTTAGGGGCTTGTGATGGTGCTGAGGAGACAGAGATGTGCACGAATCTTTCAGGAGAGGAAGAATGTTCTTGAAATGTTTGACGATGAGCAGTTAATAAAACGGTTACATTTCCTCAGTTATTCAAAGAGAAACTAGCAAAGAATATTTACATTACCAAAGAACATCATAACTGACTTCAGTCTAGCGAGAGTATTATGCTCTTCAAAAACACTCCCGTTATAATCAGTGAAGCTACCTACACTGTATCATGAATAAATCTCTTACCCCTTATTTACACTGCACACGTCTGCGGCACGTTACGGCTCCGACACGGCCACCGGAGCTGATCACGGCTACTCGCCACCCACGCCACGGCAAGTTTCTGAAGCGGCTCTCTGCGCTGCATCACTAAAGATAGGCGCCTATATTTTTGACGGATAACAATAATAATAATAATAATCGTCTTGCTGTCGTCAAAGAAATCAGCCACAGGCGATATCTCTGAGTATCGTTGATACACGATACTATCGTCTGCCAGCACAACCCTAAATTGAAGGTTGTGATGACAATTCATTTCCTTACCATAATGTATTCTCTTAAATTCTTTATTGTCAAATGTACGTTGAATGTAAACTCCTATTAGGAATTTAACCATTCAACGTGAATTTATCCGAGAATTTTCTTAAATAAGGAAATCTATTCAGTGATTGGTCCATGCGTGTTTCGTCATCCAAAATCCCGCAACTTTTAAGCGCAGCTTTGAGCCAAGAAGTTTTTTACACTTAAGCCAATTCTTAGCAACGTTCTTGAGAGTAATTCTCAGAGGCTTGATAAATACTGGCCCAGGTTCGCAGCTTTGAGCCAAGAAGTTTTTTACACTTAAGCCAATTCTTAGCAACGTTCTTGAGAGTAATTCTCAGAGGCTTGATAAATACGGGCCCAGGTTGTTGTTTTTTTTTTTTTTTTACGTTTGCATGTATTACTATCATCCATGATTATTCTACTCTGTTAATTAAAAGGCTGTTTATATGCATATCCGCTAATTGTTTTTGAGAAGCATACATGTAAGAGGCTGACAATAAGCTGAACATATACTTGTTTAATTAGTGACATCCTGCATTTTAAAATCGTTATTTGAATTTACATTTTTTATTTTTAAACCTTTATTTGAATACGGCAACATAATAGTGTGCTCTACAATATTTCTATGAATAAACCTCTGACAGAGACTATCAGCCAATCACTGTGTGCATAGTTAGTAAGCATGCTGACATCATCCATAGCAAATGAATAGATCTCTGACAGAGACCCCTATCAGCCAATCACTGTGTTCATAGTTAGTAAGCATGCTGACATCATCCATAGCAATGAGGTCAGCCCCGCCCTTATTCTTAGCTTAAGACTTCTCTCTATTCCTTAGTAAAAGTTTGTCTCAGTAGCTTTGTGAATAGGTTTTAAGAGAAAACTCTTAGCTAACAACTTTTACTGCTATTTAGGAGAACTCTTAGTGGTAAGATAAAATGTTTTGTGAATACGGGCCCAGATATTTTTGATTGGCTGTTGTTACACCTGATTATGACATAGTGTAAAGTTAATTCCAAAAGTATGCATAATGACAGGAAATGACACTTTTTAAAGACTAATACAGTATTTTCATTCATGTTTAAACCATTAATGATGTGTTTTCCAGTCTGAACCGGTTGGGCCTGGTGTTGCTGGTTCTGCATTACTTTGTTGAGCTCCTCTTCCATCTATCCCGACTCATTTACTTCAGCAATGAAGACAGACAGACCGGGTGAGTGCTATTCATTACACAGACCAAGTCCAGCTAATAAACACCTCTACTGATTTTTATTGTGCACCGATAGATTGAATATTAGCACATTTCTGTGTTTGAACTCAGGAAAGGATGACCATTATGAAGCATTTTGTGTATGTTAACAGGTTTACAGTTTGGGCTGTTCTGTTTGTGCTGGGCCGGTTGTTGACTCTTTCC